GAAATCTTTTTCTAAAATAACATACTAAGGTTAAAGAAATATTGTATAAGTAACAGAAATTTTGATAAACTTTTTTTTTAACATATAAAAATAGTGATTATAAAAAAAATTATCCATGAAAATATAAATTAAACGAAATACAAGATTTAAATTTAAATTGATTTAAATACGAGTGTTTTAATACGAGTGATTTAAATACTAGTTTTGCGTGGTATTATACCACGTCAAAAGCAATGTAAAAAGGTTTTATAATTTGAAAATGCGGCGATTCCTTTTATCACCAATCCGATTAGAATTACATAATCATTAGCACTTTTAACTTATTATTATATAGTTACTTACAAATGAGGTCTTGCAATGTCTTGTTAAAAACCATATTAAACTCATATAAAGACTTTATGAATAACCAATAATATAAAGATGTTTACTTATGTAAATTTTGAGATGTAATATTAATATATTAATATTACATCATCAAGTAGTGATTTTGGTAAATAAATATAATTTTGGTAAATAAAACATAACTAAGTGCCAAAGTTAAGTATGTTCGTGTTTATATCACATTAGAATGTTTAGAAAAAGATTGAAACAACCACCACATTTGGTTAAGGTGCAAACTTTTTATAACCGTAACTTTTTAATTTTAAATTTTAAAACCTGTTAACTTAATTTTAGTATAAGTAAAAAAAGTTACTAATTTTTTGCCCTTACATTTGGGGTAGGGATGAAAAATGTTTTAGGGTATTTTTGTTTCCAGGCTCCTATCACCACGAGTTTTATTTCTTAATCTACGTATAAATCGTTGCTTACCTACAGCTCGGGTTATACATATATTACACAGTGGCATCGCAAAATATTTTTGGTCAGGAGGCCTAGTTTCTTGAAAGACCCTAAGTTTTGCTTACACTGGCCTTGCTGTAGTTAGGCCATTGATACTACACGCAGATAAATTTATTTACATATATAGTTCTAAATTTTTCATGCTCATGTAAAATAGCGTCGTTCTCTAAACCAGTATCGGATTTAGACTTACAAGGTCTTGGGCTATTTTGGAGCAGGTTGGCATTTTTTTTATTATAGAGGCGAAAAGACCTTACAAAAAAAATCATCCTCTTGAAGATTTTGGGATTCCTAATTCTGCGGGAGTTATAGCCCCCATAAACCAGCATTATTTTAAACTTTCCTCCTTAGTTTTAAATAAAAAACTTTTACACAAAAAACTTGTGAAAAGAACTAACAATTATGCCAATTAGTCTACTCTTCTTGAGTCTCCAACGGGTATATGCGTCTTCTGTTCACTGCCATGCTTCAGCTTTGTCTGAATTCTAGACCTTTCAAATGGTTAGCAAGGGATTTAATATTTTTGAGACAGTTTAATTCAAAGTACTATTCTTCTAGCCAAAACTATCATGTACCCTAAATATAAAAGGATTTTAAATTATTGAGAGAAACCTTTTATTGATATTTTCAAGTTTTACAAGTAAGAAATACCTAAAACCGCGCAGACCAAATGTCGCCGCAAACAAAATGTTAGTTACTTAAAGTTTTACTTTTTTCCATTACTATAGTAAAAGATCCTCTCAAAGCTATTGTAGAATATAAGTAAATTTACTTACTTATTTTATATAGATTTCTTTTCATTTACTTTACAAATTATTAAAAGTACAAAGTGTTAATGCTTAGTTCATTTTCAAGCTAAAAATACATAAAGTAACTTTAAGAAAGTATAAGTTATTAATTACAACTTTTACGGAAGAAAATAAATAACCGATAACAAGTTAATTATAGAACGGTGTAAATTCATAGAATTCCATAAACTTTTTTCTGGAAACCCTGAGGGTAAGCATTTGTAGATAAAACATTCTTAGAATTTTGAATTTTTCTCTAGTATACTAAATTCAAAGTAAACTCGTACAAGTTTTCAAGTCTTACAAATGAACTGTTCATAAAGTATGGGTGTTAAAAGTAAGATGAGGTAATTGAGCACTTTTATATGGGTTAAATGAGCACCTTTTGAATTAACTGGTTTTTATTCTTATAATATTTTTGATAGTAAAATTAATATTTAAATATACAAACTATTTGAGGTTTTAGCACATTTCACTTTTTTATAATAGATTTATGGAAATGGTCAGATACAACAAAAAGTCACTAACAGTCAAGAAGATAAGTTACGTTCAAATTTATACGTTTATTCAACGTTGAAAATGTAACGTTTAAAAAGCGGTTTATTTTTAACTTTGATAAAGCTTAAATTTTAAAACGTTTTTAAAGTGGATTTTTGCGTAAGCTAATTGACGTTGAATTAAGGTTTTATTTTGAGAAACTAAATTACGTTACAATTTCAACGCTTATTCAACGTTTCAATTTACCGCAATTTATTATATAAAAACAGACATTGATTTAACGTTGAAAGCACGTTATTTTTGTGACTGTAACGTTTTTTCTACGCTGCGACAGGTTTTCAACGTTGTTTCAATGCTGACATGTTTGCTTGGTAGCTTTGACCATATATGCATCATTGCAATGATTTAATAAATTATTGCTTTCTTTACTTATTTAGGTCTTTCCAGAAGTTCTAAAGGTCTTATTACAGAGCACTGAGGAACAACACTTAACCAAGTAGTTCAAACCTCATTCCTTACCAATGAGTTGGTAAATAATGAGGCGTACCTCCTTGTTAAATTTTATCCAAATTCGATCCAAATGTAGATTTTTTACGAACTGGTTGAGTAGACTTTAATCCTATTAGTAATAGGATTAAAGTCTACTCAACCAGTAAAATGAGGATTTTAGTTCTTCAAACACAATCTATTGATGACTTTAAACTATTTAGTGTAATAGTATTACACTAAATAGTTTAAAGTCACCAATAGATTGTGTTTGGAGAACTAAAATCCTTATTTTAAATAGATGTTTTGAATGTGTTTTAAAGCGAGAATTGGTTTATTTACTCAAAATTTTTTGTTCTGCATAACCTTGTGTATATATTTTGCATAACAAAAATTGAGTTTCAAAAACTGTGTATTGGTGGCGATATTTCTAAAGTGGCAAAATTACCTGATTTTACTCAATAGTATATTTATTACTATGTATATATCCACCAAATCAAAAAACTCCTAATGAGTATTTATGACTCTTTTTTTACTATTTCGCTCCATTTTTTCGCGCCTTTTTTGTGGTTGCGCTTTTTTTTTGCAATTGTATTGAACTTTTTCTGTACTTCATGTTTTTTAAAAACTTACTTTCTATTTCAGTTGAAAGTTACAGACTGTTCAGAAAATGAAAAATACAAAAGTTATTTTGATTTATTACATTGATAATGAAAATTAACACGGAAATTGAAAACTCACATCATTACATTCTCATAAATTATTAAAACGTAATTTAAAAAATAAAATTGCAAATATTTATTTATCACCTGAATCACTGAATGCAAGACAGTTTTATAAACTGTAAGGGACATAGGAAACAAGTTGTAATGGACCTCTCTCATGATTAATGAAATTAAGCAACCTTAGACCACGGCCTCGTTAACCTTGGCAATAAAATGTATTAAAATTTTGGTCAAGATGCCGAGAAAAACAATATGTTTTTCATTATAAGAGCTAAATTCCAGTGTAAACTGTTGCCTTGTTTAGATTTATTAGAATAGACCTTGTAACGGATCAGTGATACAGCGTTGAGTGGAAAGTACCATTTTATTTGTATGGTAGAATATTGATCAAGATATGAAATTTTGACATTAAAGTGTTTGCATGCCCTCATATAAAACTTAATTTATGTTCTTTTTTTTTAGTGAAGTAAAATGTTTAACTAACTGAAGGCAGGCTTGTGCATATCTTTAAACAGATATGCACAAGCCTGTCTTCAGTCAGTTAAACTTTTTACTTCACTAAAACCTCCTTATAAATGTCTTACTGGAGTTTAAATAAAATAAATAAGTTTTCAGCTAAATATGTAGTTATTAAAAAGGAATAACTTTGATTGGAAATGAACATGAGGGAGTAACCGACAATTACAAATTGTTAAGGCTTGTCAGCTTTGGGAAACTATGAAAGAATTAATTTACTAAGCAATATTGAAACAAATGGGTAGTGTTTGAAGATTTTAAGCCCCAACTTTAACGTCAAAGTTTTCCATACTGATCAATCATGGATCTAAATTCTACCATACAAAAAAAATGGTCTTGGAATTTCTTTTGAGCATTTGATAAATAGTTTTTTTTGATAGATAGTTAAATCTTCAACGCTGCAACACTGATCCGTTGCAAAGTCTATCAAAATGAATCCATGGAACCAATTTACAAAAGAGTTTCACCCTTATTATAAAAAAACATGCTTTTTTCACTAATCCTAGGCAAAAAAACAGCCCTCACTGAATGTAATAAAAGTTTGATCAATTATCAAGAAAAACAAGATGTTTTTTATTGTAACTTTTAAATAAATTGTTTTCATGTTTGGATTCATTTCTATAGACATTTTTTATAGGTGTTGCTTGATTTCACTTATCCTGGGACATTTTTTATAGGGTTGCTTGATTTCACTTATTCTGGAAGGAGGTCCATTAGACAATACGTTTGTCTATGTCCCTTAAAATTTTTAAAACGTTACTCAGTGATTCAGTTGATTTTCAACTTTATTTTTTAAATTACGTTTTAGTACTTTACAAGAATATAACGATGTGAATTTTCACTTTCCGTGCTAATTTTCATAATCAATCTACTAAACAAAATACATTTTGTATTTTTCATTTCCTGAACATTTTCTGAAACTTTGATATAAATTTTCTGATAACTGAAATAAATTATTGTAATAAAAACCATAAGGGACAAAAAAAGGCGCGAAAAAATTGTAAGAAAAGTGCAGCTACAAAAAAGTTACGAAAAAAAGGCGCGAAATAGTAAAAAAAGAGTCTTATATACTAAAAAGAAGTTTTTTGATTTGGTGGATTATATACACAGTGAAAGTTTTTTTTGGACGCAAATCAAAAAACCTAAATTTAATAAAGGCTAACTATGCACTTTTCACCTTAATTAACCAAATAAAGTTACAATTTATTATTTTCATTTAAAACGAGCTGAGCTGACAATATTTTAGACACGCTCTTTTTACAAACACATTTTTGTATAATAAGTTTTGTATTGCAAAAAATGTTGTAAATTGATATAAACATTAAATATAATATGATAAACAAGTTTAGTTGATAAGTAACCACTTTTTCTTGCAACAATCACTATGGCAAGATAAAAGCGTATTAACAAAACAATACACTTTTTTTTTTTAAATTTTGCATTGTATGAAAAATGGCGACATCAAATATTCTTAAATAAGCAAATCTTGAATTTTTTTTTTGTCATTCAGTACTGAAATTTCTGATAAATTACACTTATCTTTTGGTTTAATTGCCCCAGGTTGAACAATACCGGATGCCATAAAGATAAAAGCCAGTAATAATGAAAGCAAACCGGTAACAAGAGCACAACACGTTATATACAACGAAATGTCTTTGTTGACAAAACTAGTACCGAGAGCACTTTCAATATTGCGATGTATTCTAAGATGTACAACTATACTCAAAAATGCCACGAGTACACCTAAAAAAGTAAAAACGTGTATTAATAGTTAACGGTAACCCATTGAAAAAGAATGGGTTTCATGTGGGTTACCATGAATCTCACATGAAACCTACATAAGAAACCATGTGGAAAAAGTGTTTTTTTTTACTGGAAAACTTTTATATAAAATGGTTTAAACAGATAACTCAGTAAATATTAATTTACTTTACAAATGTATAAAATAAAAAGTCTTATTGTTTGAAATTTATTATAAATTTTTATGAATAAATATTTATATAATTTTAATGAAATAATTATAAATTAATATATTACTTACAACTAATAATCATAGACAGCAAAGTGAGTGAAAATATCCACCTGACGTGTGAGTGAAAGATAAATATTAAAACCATTATAAAAAAAAAACAAAAAGAGATTCTGTTAATAATGAAAAGGATCCATAGTGCATCAAACCCTAAAATTAAAAAATTCTGAAATAAAACACAATATACTAATCTGTTACTAAGAAACCAAGGAAATAAATTAAGCTATTTTAAATAAATTTCTCGTGGAGAAAATTAAAGGCCGTATTGTACAATTTAATCAGATGCTATTTGATGTTAATAATATAAAATGTAAAAAAAGGGTTTACATAGTTATTTTTTCACTTCATTTTGAAAGTCAATGTTTTTGAGAGGGTTTCTTAGGCCAATAAAAATACTTTTAACAGAAATGTTTTTTTTGTTTAACCAATTGATAGGCCTGTTGTTAGGTTGTGCCCTTTTTTAGCCTTTTTTTTGCATTTTGACAGTAGTTTATACCTTAAAAAATGCTAATATCTTCACGCAATGCACAAACCAAGTCGAACTACGCTTTATATAACAAATCAATATTTTGGTCTGTAAAATTAAAATGGTAGTTGTAGCAACAATTCTAACAAAAACTGTTGGTGTTAAATAATAGAGCACTCATATTTAACCATTTTTTTGAAAATAGTGACCAATTATCACAGTAATCGGTAACTTTTTGAGGTATAATTAGCAAAAAACTAAAAAAATAAAAGTTAAAACTTCCATAAATCCTCAACCAGTTGAACAGTCCGGCTGAAACTTTATCCAGAGTTTAGTGCGGCCATATGCTACATTTGTACCAATTTTTATAAAATTATTTAAAGTAGTTTTCTTTTTACAGCTATTTTTGTTGTCGCACTATAAAATTTAAATTTCACTTAAATTGAACATTCGAATTAAATTTTCCGTTGAAAAAATTACAAGATTTTAAAATTTGCATTACAAGGTACTTTGATGTGTACGCTATCAGCCCATTTAGGTGGCGTTCTTTAATCAGCTAGGTAGCAATTATTAAGATCCGATTTAACCGTGTGGACACTCGTATTCAGTTTCAAGCCAACTTTTATAATAATTCATACATTTATTTGAACTATTACCTTTTTTTTTCCAATGTTTCATATATCACTTTTTGATATTTTCTATTATTTTATTCTGTTTTCAAAGTCATGAATTAAAGCAAGTTTTTTGTTTACACACCATAGCTTTATGCCTATCTAGACATAATAGCAACACATGCCTATCTAGACACAATAGCAACACATTATTCCATTTTTCTTATTTTATTAAACATGTTTTATTAAAAACATTTAAAGGAAAATAAAAAGAGACAATATCTTCAAGATAGAAACAAAGATTTAAAATATTATTGAAATTCTTTTATTGACCTGTATACCCATCTGAAAAGTATTCAATATTTTTTATTTAAGGTAGGTATTTCTTAACATTGTTGATGACCTTAATAATTTCATACGCTGTGTTCATATTATCATATCATCAGAAACAATACAATTAGATTTGTGCTCGAAAACCTTCTTTTTTAAAATAAATATTAACAAGATGAAGTGTACAGTGTAAATTTGTTCAATGAAAGCTTTCCACTTTGTCCTTAACAAAAAATTATAGATTTTCTGAAAATTCATCCAGAAATAATGCTGTTAACTCATTTATATCTTTTTTTCTCTTCGCTAAATATGAGTGTGGTGCAAGTTTTATCAGTTTTTTGCATACTAGTTCAATGTATTCAAACGATGGTTCTTTATTATAAGTTCAGTTTGACCTATCTGTTGTTGTCCACTGATCAATTTCTACTTTATCGCCATCTTCAAACTCTCAAAATAAATTTTATAATTTTTCAACCAATGGATTCATTATTGATAAGCATCTTACACATTTCCGCATCTTACAGTCTTAATTAGTTATGGCACATACAGTATAAGGTAACAGTTTTTTGTACGTTATACCAAGATGATGTTTTAAATTTTACTCTGACAGGTTAGACACAACTTATTAAATAAGTTGTGTCTATATGTCAAAATAATTTCTAGATATAAGATTTAAATTTACGTTTTCTGCTTCTAACACAGTACGAATTATAACCACTCAAAAGTTTCTGTGAAAGTATATTATAATTAAATATAAATATATTTAGTTATATAACATAACATGGTAATATTTATTGGACATTGTTATGTACATTTGTCATTTTATTACTTATTTTATTAATGAGATAATCACTATTTTATAACAAAAAAGTTTGCATAATATTTTTTAACTTCATGACATATCAGTGTTTAATTTAACTACATAATATTGTTTATTTTAATGACATAACTATCACGTATTAAAAATAACTGAAATTTAATTTAAATAAGTAAAAAATTTAAAAGTTTACAAAACATTGAACAATATTTTTTAAATAATTTGTAAAATTTCAAATCACATTACACGCATACTGTTTTTTTAATTTAAAACAAATATAATTGTATTTAGTTCAATACCAAAATGCATTTGCAAACTTATTTCTTTTAAAGTTTCATTAGGAAAATTGAAAAACCAAAACATCAAAACTCCTCAACAAAACATAAAGCCAAAACAAAATTGTTTGGTAAAGCAGATATACGTTTTAACTTTAAGGTAATCAGAACCAAAAGTTTTTCTATCAGTTAAATTTTCTCTACAGCTAAAGTTTTCAATGCCTTTTTGTTATTGTCATTAGTTAGTACATTTTGTGGATACTAAAATAAACTATATTCTATAGTTACGAGAAATGGAATACTATAACTTTCAGTTTCAGCAAGTTTAAAACTTCTTTGGAAGCAAGTTTTATCTTCGCAACATTACTACAAGCATCCTATAGGGGTAGTAGTTAACGGAAACATATTTGGCTAGAGGTGGTTAGTCCTAATAAGTTGTGGGTGGTCTGAAAAAAAAAGATCTAAAACGTAGTAAAGAAAAAATTTATAAGCAGAAAATGCTGCTGTGACAGGAAAAAAAAAAGAGTGTCCTCTAGCTAGCAAAAACTTTAAAATTTTAATTTTTAAGAATTGAAAGTCTTTTTTGCTATACTTATTTTTTTGCTATCAATATATATACGTCCAGATTGAAAAAATTGAAAATGTATTGTGTTAAGGGACAAATTTAAACTCTCGCAAACGAAAAACAAACCATTTTATTTTCTTCTAAGTATTTTAATAATATGCAAAAATGAAAAAATAAGATTAGGTAAAAAATTTAAAGAAATGAAACGGGTAATTCCTTAAATTAAAGTTAATAAAGTTCAGTTATTTAAACAATGAAAAAATAATAAAATTTTGTAATCAAAAAAATAAATCCATGAATGAATCTTATACAGTAGTCTCTCGCTTAATTGCGCAAATTGAAACAGGAGTGCGCAATTAACTAGGAGTGCGCAAATAAGAAAAAGATAAGAAAAAGTTTAGCAAACTAAATTATTAACTATATAAACAAAACTTTATTAAGTCGAAAAAAGTCATGAATTGTAGGCTGATATGCATTCTGCAGCTTTTCTTGTTTAATTTTCATAATTACTGACCGTATGTTTGATGGTAGTTGTTCGTAGCTATTCATTAATTTATCGTTGTTGTCTTTTAAAGTTGCTTTAGCTTTTTGATATTTTAACTACATGCCAATATTGATCAGAGATAAATACCTAAGAAGTCTGTACCATCGTCTATCTCATCATTATTAGCTTTTTCTTCATCAGAATCGTTATCCATAGCAACTGCATTATCATTATTTTCTTCAAGAGACAAACAATCTTTAACATCTTCCTTGATTGCTTCAATATACATTGGAAAATCTTCACAGTCAATTGATTCAAAATTGCTGATACCTTCCGAACTGATCATATTCCATATTCCTTCAATTTCGTTCAGCAGCCAGAGCATATTAAAAGATATGAAGTTTGCCTCCTCAGAGCATAGTTTAGTGTTAACGGGGCTGGGAATCTGAAATAATTTTGCCTTGTTGAAGCAATTTTTGAGAGATGAAGGTTGAATTAATTTCCAAGCCAAATCGACATACTTAGCAGCGTCAAGAAGATGTGCGGCCTTCCCGAATTCAACTCCTGCTGCACCTTTTTTGAACAAAAGACTACTTTCTTTCAGACATTCCTTTGTATTTACATTGAGGCTGTAATATGACAATATGTCTGAGAGATATAGATATTTATATCGCTTCATGAGAGCCGCAATAGCCCCCATATCACATGGTTGCTTCCAACTTGTGCAATTTGGAGGGAATAAAACAACTTTTACAAGGTTTTGCTCAAACGCCTCAAAATGTCCGGGTGCATTGTCTAATAATAAAAGAACAGGCAAGTCAGTTTGGCGTTTAACTTTAGGATAACATATTTCATTGAACCATTTCCAACATATAGAGATATCCTTCCATGAATTTTTCTGAAAAAAATACGGTATAGGCCATGTTCTAGCGACTATAGAAGCAGGTCCTGCAGCTTTTCCAATCATAGAACAGGGTATTTTGTGAGATCCTGTTGCGTTGGAGCAAACAACTAAAGTCACTCTATCTTTAGATTTTTTTTTACTTCTTGTAGTTACTAAGCTTTTAGTAGGCATTAACAGAGAGTATCTAGACAGCAAGCCAAAAATAAAGTCCAATTTCGTCCATATTATACACATTTTCGGGTCTGTACATTTTAATGACTTAGTAAAAGAGATGCATTGATTTTAAGCCTCGATGACGACGAAAGTTTGCGAGCCATTGCCAAGAAGCTTTAAATTCTTCTTCTTTTATGTTTAATTTTAAAATATTCAATTCAATTTAAAAATATATTGTTGGAGTGTATTTTTTTATAATTTCTCTCTGTACTGTAGTTGTCTTCAATATATAATCTCTTTAACGAACAAGTGGTTTGATTTTTACTTTATTTATTATTTACCTATCTGATATTTATTTATTATTATGTTATTAATGTTACATTTTATGTTATTATTATATCTAATTATCATCTATGATTTGTACATTCAATTTATATTGTGTTATAATATTCTTCATATTATTGGTACTTTATTATTATTGTTATTATTTTGTATTATTACTATTATTATTACATATATCATTATTATTTGTTTAACAATCTTTT